GTAGGTTTAGAAAATGTCAACTTTGTTTAAAAAGTAGGTTAAACCGGACACCTATAACTCTCTGTGATATGGGGAGGGGGACAGAAATGCTCCCCCTCCTTCCTCCTTTCTCCCCTGCCACCCCTCTTAACTCCCTTCCACTGCCTTTGAAGTTTTCAACCACTAGCATCCATCCATTTACCATGTTTACCATCCCCCTTTTTCATGCAAAGTTCAATGTCTCAACTGTTTAAATAAAATGTTTATTTATTTAAGGTATTTATAGAATGAACCTTTGCAATTTAAAAGTGTTTGTTAAAATCTGTCTAAAAACTTGCAAATCTTTCAATATGCATGCTTAAATTAAAATGTTTATTTATTTAAGGTATTTATAGAATGAACCTTTGCAATTTAAAAGTGTTTGTTAAAATCTGTCTAAAAACTTACAAATCTTTCAATATGCACATGCTTAAATTTTTCAAAAGTTATTTCACTTAACAATCAATTTTTGTAAAAAATAAAAATACGACAAAGGTGAGGTTGCTCAATTGTCGTCATTCTAAGTCATTTTCTTCCTTATCAATTTATCAAGGTGTTCACTTTAGGATGTGAAATTAAACTTTTTATCAGATACTTTAGTCATGCTATGATGACAACAAGTCAACAGTGGTAATTATACCTTTGTTTCAAATATTTATGGCCTGGGCTTAGTGAAAAATCGGATGATTATTTGTGTACTTAGGATCACTTATCAATCTGATCCATGTATATCGTCTGTTGTAATATTCATCATATCTTTGTCAAGAACCATGAGAATAGTATATTGTCCTTTGAACAGTTTCCTGTATATTACTTATAAATAATCATCAAGAGGCCGTCTTCAAACAAATCAGAAACATGGATATGGTTCAGATAATCTGGAAGTCCTTGGGAATGACAATATAGATATCATTTTATATATTTTTAAATTTAACGTATATATATTTTAATATCACTCAATTTTTTGTTATTTGTTGAGCGTACATATTTTTTTTGATAAGCTTGGTTAAGTTTGCAGAATGTTCAATCAATTTATTGATTTGTATGGAGAAGTACCAGTGATAAATATCTTAACTGCACAGCGCAGCTGACGTGGTTCCTTTTCTTACAAAGCCTAAATGCACATATATATATGGATATTCGCTGCAACTAATTCTTCTCTCAATGTCACTTAGGGTGAAATCAGTGGATGGTTTTTTTTTTGTTTTTTTTAAACAAGAAAAATATTTTTTAATAATGCGTGTAAAACATATATATACGCAGTATATTTCATATACAACTTGGATTTATCATGACGACACTGCATGTATAGCTGATTGTCCTTGTTTGGATATCTTGAGATGCATGGTTTCTTTCTGACTCAGACTGTTGAATAGAAATATGATCTCCTGTTTTTAGAATATTTGAATCTTAATTCATAAGCTAGAAATTAGAGCACAGAGGTAAAGCCATATTATCACCATGTTATGCAGTATGTTAATTAGGAATGCATACCTAATTATCAAGTTTGAGGGAATTAGAAATCGTTGGCAAGTTATGACAAAATAATGGTAAATTTTTTTGGTCTATTTAAATGGGTGACTTTTTCTGATGGCTATAGAATTACACTGGATATTTTATGATGACAGTCCTACATGTACAGGATTACATATTATATATAAATCAGTCTTTTTCCCCTTGGTGATTGGAATTTTGGAGCTGAACCTCCATCTATGACTGCATTTATCATGTTTATAAGCCATTCCAAGATATTTTATCATTAATATATTAAATTTAAAGCAGAAGGGGAATTGTTACAGAAGATTATATAGATGATCTTGTTAGATTTCAACAGTTGAAATTTACATTATTCCATCATTATTACAAGATATTTTGATTTAGCATGGTATTTATGGTATTTTTCACATGAATGCTAATTTTTATGTACATGGTGTAGAATGAATGTATTTAACCATTTGAATACACGTGAGTGTATTTATTTTTCTGTATCGTATCAGTGTCGCACATCTGCATCAACATGTAATATTTTTTTTAAAATTGATTTTGCTGCAAAAGTTGATCAGATACTTATTATTTAAGAAGATTACTGAACTTTTGTTACTTTGTTATTTTTGTTATTACTCCTAGTACTTAGTGCTTACAGACTCTTAAGAGTGGTTAAGATTGGGCGGATGTGAAAATTGATTCCAAACAATCCCATTCATACTGCGGCAAGTTTTCAGACAGTGAAGCATAATCAGAACATGGAAGTATATCGTGACTTTGTTCTTAGAGTGTAAGCCATTGATTGTGTGAACTCGGAATTATTTTGTTCCATGTGCAGTTTGCTGATAGTGGAAAGTTTGATTCAGGAATTAAATAACATTTAGAATCTGATGATTCATTGCTTCATCAACTTTTTAGGGTATTTGTCATTCCAGTCGTAAAAATGTTTAATAATTGGCATGTGTATATCATACTATGTTGTATAACCTCTACATGTAATATGTACAATGTAGAGATCTCTGCATAATGATTCATATACAGGAAGTTATAATCATGCACTCAAGCATATGTTTAAAATGCACATATTTCAAACACCAGACTATGAAAAGCACATCATAATATATAAAGCCTAAGGCTTCCATTGATCAGCTTTCAAATATGAAAGTAAAATCTCCCGGTTGAAGACAAACAGATGGTGATTTATGATAACTGGTGACATGATGTTTCCTATGTAATCATGGTCATGTTATGTTGTGTTATCGTGTTGTGTTATCTTGTCATCTTTTGAACTTGTATCAGGTCATAGCATCTGTCAATGTTTTTATTTTTTATTTTTTTTTCTATTCTGTGTGACTTTCATTACTTGCAATATTATTCTTGTTATTACTCCTGTTGCTTATTGATTTACGTCATTTTATGAGAAGGACATTTTTTTTTTAAAAACATGTTTAAGGGAAAAAGCTGTTTTGGAAAAGGGGAAACCAAACTCACTTTGAAGGCAATTGTGATCGGAAGGATATAATTTAAAAATTTTTATTTGAATATTTCTTTGTAAAAAAAAATATTAGGAACCCAGAGATTATACATATTTGCACACTTTTTGTCAATTTCCTAATATTTATTTTCAAAGAAATTTATAAACTAATATATTTAGAGAACAGTGACAACAGTGAATCCCATCTTGCATGCACAAATCTAGAGGGGGGTTGAGGGATCCAACCATATCCCCCCCCCCCCCCCCTCAGAATTTGCAGAGGTATTAAATATATATACTGAAGCAAATAAAAAATAGATAGGGAAAGGAATTTTTTTTTTGCTTGTCAAGAAATTTTTGGGCTGGAATTTTTTTTTTGACTGGAGAAGGACCCCCCCCCCCCCCCCCGGAAAAAAATCCTGGATCCGCACCTGCATCTTGTACATGTTGTACACTTTCTTAGTTTTTTCCTGCAATATACATGTTATACTTTTCCCCATTTCTCACTTAGTCTGTAAGTGCCCATTTCCCCGAGTAAGGCAAATTCTATATGATATGCATACATGCACAAAGTCCCCTAACAACGTAAAAGTAATTCAAACAGGTATATACACACTATACTATCAGTACATCAGAAATGGATATGGTCTACTTATCAAAGAGCATCAGGGACCTAACTGTTACTAGTAAGCTTTCAATACATACAGTGTAAGTAAATGGGGCATGAATGTCAGTGTAACATTAATTCTAATCTGATTACCTCCCCTTGAGAGCCCCTTCCACTTAATTTAACAGTTAGAGATACCGTGTGTTACTTTCTAGGTGTCTAACTTGATGGTCAATTGTACAGTACAACTATGTAATATTTACAATGGTTATATAGCACCTGTTTCTAAGTAGGCTAATCCTTTAATCTAATTAACATTTGTAATTACCTTTTATATACAGGTAAATGTAAACAGTGTGTAATTATAATTAATTCCTATACTGTAATACCTTTAATTATTAGTTCATTTGTATTTATATAAATGTGCACGAGATTTAGAATGTGGCCTTCACATATTGCATCACTTCTTCCATGGTGGATAAATTGGTGGGGATGTGGGGTGGGCCTAAAATGTCAGCTCCTAATTTTATCCCCCCCTCCCCCCCCCCCCCCCCCCCAGCACAAATCAAACAAGGAACAAATAAAGATTTTAACAGGTGCTGTCTAAGTTTTAGATTCTTCACCTCTTAATAGGTTTGCATTGCATGAAGTGGATTTAGTTTTGTAGACAGACGCCATTCTTTCTGCAAACTCATCTCTAGTAAGATTTAGTATGGAGATAGAGGTTTTATTTTTGTCTATAGAAAGTCTAGATAATTGACATGCCTTCCTGTAGACCCTGAGGGAGACTTCAGCTGTTTATAATTCAGTCAGTTAAAGGGCTCAGATGATCTAGTTTATTTAAATGTATGTTGATACTTGGGATTAAAGCTTTCTCAGTTTTTACTTTCCAGATAAAAATTCTTTCCTTGGACGTTTCTTTTGTGTCTCTTGTTTACACAAGGGAAATATTTTTCCTTGAAACCGGAATATTTTGTCTACAAGTGTAGCCAATGATCATAAAGATCATAATAGAGACTTATAAAAAGAGAAATTTTATGTAACATATTGTCCAAATTGATTGAATCATGAAATATACTGTAAAAGCTGAAATATTCATTGGGGATTAATTAAATTTTGTTTGTTTCATTGTTAACTATCAACGTAATTTTTATATGACTATATTAATATGAGTTATATTGAATAGAGTTACTTTCAAAACAAAGAAATTTAATGCCCACGAAACCTTTTTAGATGACAAATCAACAAAAATTTTATCCCCATGAAAATTTGTGTTTCTGCAGTATTTCCTTATTGAGTATCTGAATTTATCAGTGTTTATCCAGATTTCTGTTATCATGGTTATAGTTGACATTCAACATGTTCAATGATAAATTTCTTAGACAAAAACATATTACAATCTTTTTCAGTTTGGTA